CTTCAGCAAATTCACTTATACTGGATTTTATAACAATGTTCTCACGAGACCAAATACCACCAATTGACAATCTTGTAAGCATCCTGCTGAACCTTCTACTGTAAACGTCGATGGTAACATTCCACGAAGGTCATCTATTGACATCGTTGAGTCACTGTATTTAAATATTTTCTTAAAGCAATCGTCATTATCTAACCATGCAATAGCTTTGAAGTTTTCATTCGAATAGACATCTGCTTCATTAAATGTAAATCCTGACTTCTTTGCAGAGACGACTTTAAAATCTATTGAGTTTGTTTCAAAATTATATGCTATGGTAACTTCTGAAGGTAATGGATGTCCTTCCGCAGTCAGTTGTTCTCTCACTACCGTTTGAAGCTTTGTATTAAAAACTTTCATGTCATCTCCTGTGTCTAGGTTCACATACACAGCAACAGGGAAACTATCTTGCTTCTTTGTTTCATCATTATATCTCAAAACATTAAAGTTCTTCAATAATATTGTTCTTCCTGCTGGAATACTTCGAACCTGTCTGATTTCAATAGCTTTCTCACCTCCTACATACTCTACCCAGTGTCTTGGATATTCATAAGTATACTGACTTTCTTGAATTTTGGTTGGTTTCATCATAACATGTTCATAGTATATCTTTATACTCTTGTCAGTTAGACTCGGTGCTATGTTCTGAATATTTCTGACTTGCATTTTTAATGGAGATAAAATGAAGCATTTAATACATGACGTAGATGAAGACATGAATGAAAGCAGTGAAAAGCTCAACAGTTCTCTCATTCTTCCTTTCAGTAAGGACTATGAGTTCTGTTCAAATGGTGTTTATTTCTATTGTGGAAAGATGGGTTCAGGTAAGACATTTAACCTCATTCGTCATATACTCATAACAGAGCGTTTAGGAAACGACTCTTACTATGACCAAATCATTATATCAGCAACTTCAGACTCTATGGATTCAACAGCGAAAACATTTATGTCAAAAGTTCAAGCCTCTGTCGTTAAAGTTCCAGACAGTGGAACTCATTGAATTTCTTCAACGTTACATTCGACGTAAGAGGAAATATTATGCCATCGTTGAATTTATACAGTCAGGAATGCAAAAGACTTCTGAGGAGATGGAAAGAATTATTGACAAACACCACTTACGTCAGTACTCAGGAGTTTACGATATGAAACGACTGACAAACTACATTCTATCAAAACTTTCAAAATACCCCTTCAAAAAGTATCCTTCAAACACTTTATTAGTTTGTGATGATTTCGCTGGTAAAGGTTTAGTGTCAAAACCAGACTCACCATTAGCTAACATCATTACTAAAGTCAGACATTACCACTTAACTGTAGCAATACTTATGCAAACATGGAGGTTTTTAGCTTTAAACATAAAACGTCTCATAACTGACTTCGTTATCTTTCAAGGTTTCTCACGCTATGATATTGAACTCATTTGGAAACAGTCAGGTATAACATTACCTTTTGAAGAAATTTGGGAAGCATATAAGTCTCTCATCTCTCCTCGTTCATACCTTGAGATTCATATCATGACTAATACCATTAAAGTCAAAAATATTCCATGGGAACGACCAACATTATTTTAAAGTTTAACCTTCAATTGACTGATGGTAAACAAATTCCATGCATCTCTGTCGCCATTTCTGTTAATATTTTTGCTGTCATTCATATCATCCACTTCCCCATCCGTTAGCTTTTGAGGATATGCGTTAGAATAGCTGTTCTTAAATGAAGGCTTTTCACCTTGGAGAGCATAAACTCTATAACTTTCTGCATACCTTTATGTTTGAACCTCCTGAGCCATCATTGACATAAATTTTTATAGGCTTCCACCCTTTGTTCATGTTCCTGCTTCTTCCCTTAGCTCTTTTGTTCAGTAGTTCTACATCTTTATACACAGCACCTGTCTCAGTGAATTCAACAATATTTTCATTCGTTAGCTTTACATTCAAACCCTTGTCGAGTATATTGTTCATTTCATACATATAAAATGTTTTTATTCTATATGAAATGAGAAGCAAATCCATCTTAGCTGGTGCCGTTAATGTTCCAATTGAACCAACATCAAATGTTGACTCGCGAACGACAAACAATATTGTCATAAAGAACTATAGTTCAGAGTGTTTGAAAGAAAAAGAACCAGAACTTAAGTCGGTGAATTTAAACTCAGCTTCAAGTGCAAACGCTAACGCTACATCAGATGTTAAGTTAGAGTATCCACCACTGGACCAAATTCTTTCAAGAGAAGCCAACGACAATCCTTACACAAATGTTCAAACAAATCCTTCAGATAACGTAGACCATTACCTTCTTCAGTTATACCAAACAATTTTACTCAAAGACGATAAGAAGCTTTTGACAAATCTTATAAGCAAGAACCAAATAATTTTAACAAAGGAGGATTTAGAAAATGTTATATCACGAATAACAGGGAAACAATGTGTCATTGACTATCTCGACCCTGAAATCGAATGCTGTGGTCAAACGCCAATATTCATGAAAATCGGTAATATTAGAATAATCGAAACACCAGGAACTACAGGAGTTGAGTTTAAGTATAAATATTCGAATGAATACACAAAACTTTCAACTGACTATAAGCTTTGTTTGAAATATGTTTTAGTAAATTAAAGCAGTCAGTCAGTCAAAAAAAAATTTCAAGTTAGCAATTTGTAATATCTGTCCAAAACTTCTTCAACAGTATCGAACTCATCTTCATAATGCAAACCTAATCTTATTGATTTGGTGCAGTTTTCACTAACACAATATTTTTCTGTTCTCTTGACTGACATAACTAACTCATTTGTTTCATCAAACAGCAACAACCAAAGTTCATGACCTAATACATAACATTCATACTTTATATTTTTAGCTCTGAGTTCTCTTGTAAGCTGTTGCATTTAATATTTTCTAAAAAGTCAACTTCAACAGTCATTCGCACTGGTGCCTTCAGTTCTACAGGCTCTCCTTGAAAATCAACAAGTCTGAATTGCATGTCTTTCAAATTATGAGGACTAATGCGAACCCATTTACCTAAATGAGTTGCTATGACAGGAACATTTGGAATGAACATTGAATTGACTGCATAACAGAAGGATTTATATTCTACTGAACCTTTACTATTAACTCCTGAAATACCTGTGACATTAGCTATTTTTGACTCAATGTACAAACAATTACCATAACATACGTATGGAACAGATTTCATCTCAATCGTTTTGTCAACACTTTTCAAAGGAAATGTCATATGGTATGCTCCCAGAAGCAATTGAACTCTATGACTCATTCGTGTTATCTTAAACTCTTTCTCGCTGCTGAACTTCAATGTTCCCTCAGAAGAGAGTTCGACATCTATGTTGTCAATAGTTTCTTCATTTATGAGAGTATCTATGACTCCAGCAATTTTATCTATTCTATACCCAGCTCTGTTAGGAAATGTTATAACACTTCTTTTGTCATCTATTTCAATCTCTATGAAATCTGTTTCATCTGTTATGACAAAAGTTGCGATAGTATTGAAGTCAACAACTCTGAAAGCAAGCGCTTCATTCTGAAGACCTAAGTTTGTTTGTAGCTTTACTGTCCCGTATTCGTTTGGGTCTGTACTTTGCAAATAGAACAACATTTTATTCTCATTAAAATATGACTATTGCTGCATATGCGTATGAAACAAATGAAGCAAGAAGAGCACATGAACTAGTAAACGAAAACTCAACTTTAACAGTGGAAGGCAATGATTTAGTCATTGACGATGGAAAAACTAAAAAAGTCATTGATTTCGATACTTTTAACACTTATGACCCATTCATTACAACAAGCAAGGTTCCATCATAAATGATGGAACGGTGCAATATATAAATTCTACAGTAGATGCCTCATTAGTGAAAGTATTAAATGTTCTCATTGAATTGTTAAAGAGCTTTCGATTTGACGACAACATTAAATGCCTAAAGAATTTAGTCATGAATGAGAAACAAATTCTCGGCGTTGTTGGTAGCAGTAATGATGTACACCTTATGACATTAGAATATTATAACGAACATAAAGATGAACTGAAAGGAGAGAAGGGTGACACCGGACCTCAAGGACCACAAGGAATACAAGGAATACAAGGAATACAAGGAATACAAGGACCTCAAGGCGAAAACGGTTTGGATGATGAAGATGGAAAGGATGGAAAAACTGCTAAATCATGGATATGGAACCTTATAAATACTGGTTTAACAGCTGCTTCATATGGAGTTCTTCAATACCAAATCGGAAAGATATGGGCAGTACTTGGTGAAGAAGCTTTAGATGACGTTAAAAATGCTTTGAACTTCATTTCAAATGGTTCGGATACTATTAAAACTTTATCTGGTTGGATGCAAGAAACAAGGAGTCAAATAGATACTGTAAGACGTATAGCAAACAATGCACGTACGGGATTGGATACTTTACGAGAAGCACAAAATACACTAAAGGAAGCAAATGATATTCTTGGCTCAGTATCAGACATGCATGAAGATTGGCTTAAAGGTATTGACAAATCTTTAAAAAATCACAGTCAGTCTATTGCTGACTACAAGAAAAGTATAGATTTTTTACATAGTGCTATGGACGTACATGATGGAAGCATAAGGAACTTACTTAATGCTAACAATAACTTACCAGGAACTATTAAAGCATTTATAAAGTCCTTTGTAAAACCTGGTGCTCTAACATTTAGGTCTTTGAGAGCAAGAGCATTGAAGTCAAGAGATGCAGAAACTCCAACAGAACCTACAGAAGGAACTGAAACAACAGAAACTCCAGAAGTACCACCAAAACCAACGGCAAATGAAATATTGTTCGAATATTTTCCAAGATACTCTGTTCTCATTGCATACATTCAAGAAATACTTAAGAAAGCAGACTTGACTTTAGGAGATGATGAAAGTTCTGTATATCTTTCGTTCCAGTTTCAAATAGCAGAACTTTTGAGACAGATATGCTTAATGTATGACAACATCTCTGATTTCACAAGATATGATGACGACCATGACCCCGAACACGGTGAAGAAGAAGTTTTACAAACATCCATTAAGACAGGAAAGGTTCTAACTCAAAGTCTCATTATTGACACCAAAGATGGCGAAGTGGACGTTCTTCAAGAGCTGAAGAAAAATACTTCTTCGGGAGGTGGTGGTAGGCATGAACTTGAAATAAATGAGGTAGAAGAGAAATTAGCCGAAAAAGCAGATAAAAACCATGTTCATTATATAAGTTCAGACGAACAGATTATAACGGACTACCATGGATATTTAACACAGGATGAACAAATAAGCACTGAAGATGTTAATGAAAGAAGATATAAATTCATTCGTGCTAAAGGTTATGACATACACTGTACTGTACAGTATGACACAGGTAAAGCACCAGAAGCATTTGGTTATAACAATGAAATTTATGCTTCATACTTCTTTGTTAACGGTGTATTAGTTGAACCAAGATTTACTTTGAGAGTTAAGGCAAAAATAACTTTTGAAGATGCTATTAAAAGTAAAGCTGACAAAGATGAACTTGACGCAACGAACAAAGTTTTGAAATCTCATAAACACAATATCTCCGATATAAATGAACTTCAAGCTACATTAAATAGTAAAGCTGACAAGAACCATACACATGAATCCTTCACTACTGTTAGAGCAGACGACATAATATTGAACTATACCCTTGGTTCAAGTGCACCTTTAGAGAATCCAAGTACAAGCGTAAAAGATACACTAAACTCCTTAAATAACAAATGTATGAATATCGAAGGTCATGTCAGAAACTTTGAAACACATGAACTACCAGCAATGTTAGATAAGAAAGCAGATAAAGAACATACACATAACTCCTTCTCAACTGTTGCTATAGAAAGTATTGAAGGAACTGGTGGGGATGCATTATATTATAAACCTCCTAACTTTCCACAAGGTTTAACATCGAATGAAAACATAACAACGAAGAAAGACATTAGCTGTAAAAATGTTTATGTCATGGATGATGAAAATAATGTTAAATTCACTGCTCAAGATTTATATGATAAGAAAGCCGACAAAACCTATGTAGATGAAATTATGCAAAGAAGTCGGAAGTAAATGCTGCGGTTAATGGAAAAGCTGATAAAAAGCACGTGCATGAAGAATTTCAAACAATCAGGATTAAAGAAATTAATGCATACATTGAAGAAGTAAACAAAAACAGGAAGAGGCGGTACACCTTTAGTTGAACAAAATATTTATCCTCCTACTTTTCCTAATGGTTTAATAACAAACAATATAAATATTGTAGATGGCGATGGATTTATAAATGTTAAACATGAACTTCAAACAATGAAGACTCAGATTCTTGAAACCATATATCCTATAGGCTCTATTTATACGTCAATGAATTCAACAAATCCGGCAAGTGTTTTAGGTTTTGGTACGTGGCAGCAGATTGTAGATAAATTCTTATACTGTGCTAACTCTTCAAATCAAACAGGTGGCTCAAAGAAAATTAAAGAAGCAAACTTACCTGCGCACACTCATACAGGAACGACAAACTTTTCTGGCGACCATAGCCACTCATTAAGAGACCACCCATTATACAACTCAGACTATAAAGCTGGCAATGACGTTTTATCTCCATCTTATAACAATTCAGCAAAAAAAACTTTTCGACCAACTGAACCAGGAGGAAATCATGTCCATACTTTCACAACAAATCCAACAGGCTCGGGTGCAGATTATATGCCACCATTTATGACTGTATTCGCATGGTACCGCGTTCAATGAACGCGCTTGAGCCTTGAATAAAATCTTTAACTTTACATAAATGAGCTTGAAAGAAGTATTCGAACAACATCCATGGAGGTCATTTAAGAAGTTCAATGAAGCTGCAAAGAGTTGGGGATTTACTAACAGAGCTGAAGTGAAAAGGTTCTTTGACAAAAATGTTGTACATCAACAAAAATAAACCCTTACGACTACTTTTTACCAATTTACTCCAACACTCCTGACGCATACCAATTTGACACTCTCATTCAAAGCAGAAAAGGAAGAAAGCCACCATTCTCATCTTCATTAATGTTAACACTCGCAAAGCATATGCATATCCAATGAGGAATAAAGGAACTCGTGAAGTGTTAAGAGTTTTACAAAGTTTGTAGCAGAACATAGCCCAAGTACTTTAACATCAGACCAAGACAGTGCATACCTCAGCAATGAAATCACAGATTTTCTCATTAAGCATAACATAACTCACTACACTACTGAAGACCATAACCATAACATACTCGGCATCATAAACCGCTTCATAAGAACGCTCAGAGATTTAAACCAAGAGCGAGACTTTACCGAAGAAACAATGAAACATTTTCTCGAAGTATATAATTCCTCAACACACTCTACAACAGGACATACACCAATTCAATGACACAACAACAAGAAGAAAGGTATATACAAAAGAAACGAGTCAAACACAAAATATCAGAAATTCAACACAATTTACCCTCATTCCTGGTACAAAAGTTCGTGTATTTCTTGACGACAACCGTTGACAAAGAAACGTTTAAGGTTAAGTAGAAACTATTATATCGTAGACTCTACGCAAGGTAATGGATATCTTATAAAAGCTGCTGACGACTCTATTGCGTTTTATCCTCGACATAAGTTAGTCGAAAGTAGTAATGGCAAACTTGCTGAAACCATTGACGAAGCAAAGCGAGGAGTGGTTATTGAAATACTTGGCTATAACATAAACGATGGCACTTATAAAGTAAGATATGAAGGAGGCGTTGAAGATGTTATACCATCTAAGAACTTGAGAGAGTCGAAGCCAACACATCTGGGACCATTAGAGCGGGAGTACTGGAAAGACAAAAATATGCCAGAAAGAATAAGAAAATTCTTCTAAACTTTTTCATTAGATGTAAATCAGACAAAAATAATGTTTAGGTGAAGAGGTGAGATTTCATTTCACCTGTTTTTTCACCCTCGTGAATTTTCATGAATTTCCTTATGATAGAAAAAATAAAGTTAGTTTTATTTTTATTTATTTTTTTATTTTGTATAAAAGATATGATTTCAACAATCGGCACAACAACAATTCAAGCTGCGAACGGCGGGACTCTGTCCACAACTACAGCACCAAACTCGTTAGTCATGAATCCTACGTCAATGTTGGTAGAGATGAAAAGCTTTATTCCTTCTTCATATACTTTTGAAACAGAAATCCAGAAGATAAAGCAAGAACTTTTAACAAGTAATTTAGACTGTAGTGCGAAAGATGAAACAAATGAACAGTATCTTTATGAAATGGAGGACCTCATCGACCATTTGCCTAAACTACCTGAAATTCAGCAGCAAAAACTAACTATTCCCGAATTCGACGAAATTGAAGTCAAAGCAACTGACTCAGTAGAAATTAAGAAATTCATACGTAAAGTAAATTATGAATTCCTTGGTTTTCATTGCAACCATAAAGTTATGGACAAAGATTGCGACATGGTTTATAAAAATATTTCTGACCTTTACAAATCCGAAGAATTTAAGACATACGATAACTTTGTTTCATTAGTTGCAAAATGTGTTTGGGAAATAAGAGATAAAGATAGAAGAGGCAAAGTATGGAACGAACAAATAAGACCCGCTATGTTTGAGATGAAGAGAGCAATTGACGCTTTAGTTGTTTTAGCTGGTAATGTTTCAATGTATAACGCAAAAACGATGCCGCAATGTTCAAAATGTAAAGCAGCAATAAGAAAATATAACTACTCAGTCAAAGAGATAGAATGAATGCGAAACGACTATGCAGACTTAAAGAAAGAAGCAGAAAAGCCAGCAGAAGATAAAATGGATATGTTGACATTTCTTAATAAAAACTATCCAACAGCAGAAGATTTCCTTCTGTCTGACGTCAAGAAGAAATATAAAGAGACTTTCGGCATGATTAAAACATTCAATGTACTAAAAGAAGAAATAGAAGCTACGAAATTGTTTAGGATTTCAAATATACATCGTACAATTCATGTAAAACGCTTGTGAAAAAACAGGTGAAAAAACAGGTAAAATCTCACCTCTTCACCTAAACATTATTTTGGTGTAAATTTCATTAACTGACTGACTGACGGCACAAAATAATGAATTTCATTAGTTAGTTTTTTCTAACAAAATTTTTGATTTTGTATGTAAAGACAGTAATGACAAACATTGAGTTTGAAACAGTAAGAAAGATTGACAATGACACCAAAGTGGTTAGAATTGGTGATTTAAACGTAAGATACTGTAAGAAATACAACAAATATTCTTTGTCAGACATTATAACACCATCTGGAAAGAAAACAAAGGACTAGGTTAGAATTGCTTCTACTCAGAAAATTTTGACAAGAAATCCTGAGCTTATGATATTAGTAAGATTCTATGGAACTACAGCATATCTCATCGACAAAAGTCTTATACCAATAATTCTTCTATGGATTAACCCTGTTGTTGGATATAACTTCATAACTTATGGTTCATTCGACTCAGAACGTTGCGGTGAAGGCTTACTTTACATCGTTCAGAAACCGAAGGACTTCAATACAAAGAGATATAAGATAGGAAGAACATATAATATAACTCAAAGATATGATTGTACAGTCAATAGAGTCAAGGTTGTGTTCGTTAATGATATGAGAGCTGCAGAAACAGAACTACTTGAAAAGTTTGAGAAAATGTATGGTGCTCCCATGAAAGGTAAAGAAACGTTTGAAGTAGATGAGATAGATAAAGCTATAAAATTATTTGACGAAGTTGCTGAAAAATACATGTAAAGCGTTTATTTTTGGTCTTTTGTGAAAGTCAGACAATAACGCTAATTTTTCCTAACATAATTTTTTATTTTGTATGTAAAGACAGTAATGTCAACATCAGAGAACACAACAACTGCTATCGTTCATGAAGCCATCAATGAAGAATATGAATACATACAGTATAACAAACAGTTACGTCTCATTCGTTCAGTCAAAGACGATATGTACCAAATGCAAAGTATAATGAATGCTCTTCGTTCTACAAAGCAAGCATATCATTGGTTTGAAAACCAACAGACAAAAGAACTTTTAGAAGAATTTCCTCATATGATTGCTTCCCTCGGAAAACCGAGGGAAGAGATTCCGTATGAAAATCGCAAGAATTTGGCTCCTGGTTTGAAAGGTTATTATGTTCATAGACTTTTAGTAAACGCTGTAGCAATGTGGGCTTCACCTCGTTATGCTTGTTATATTTTCATGATGTTAGATGAACTATATAAAGCAGAACGTGGAGAGTTGGAAAAGAAACTTCAAGCAAAAGATGAAGTCATTGAATCCAAAGACAAAAGCATACAGAAAAGAATACCGCGTTCAGTACCAAAAGGAAAGGAAAAGAGTTATAAGTATATGATATATACTGAAGAGTTGGAGAAAGAAGAAGATAAAGATATGGTTATGTTACATTTAGTCAGAAGAAACAACAAGAGCTTTTATGACTTAGCTAAGATATATAAATCTGACAGAAACTGGTTCTATCGTGAAAACTTACCGATTTCAATGACTCCGAATGAACAAATAAAGGAAATTGTCAAAAATACTCTTCCTCAAACACACTATGACATCAAAGGTTGCACAATACTTACATTCAAAGAAGACTTAACATTACTGAAGGAAAAAATAACAGAATATTTCGACAACTTCAAAGAGGAAGAATGAAAAAAAATCTCGTCGGGTGCCACGTTAGGACCATAGTGGAGAAAACCACGATAAAAAACAAAACCCTTCGTCGATTATGATCGACACTGAAAACATTAACGATAAAATTTATTTCCTGGACTGTTGTCTAAATGTCATGTTGTCATCATTTTTCAGTTGCGATGGAATATATCTAACCCTCCCGTTAACTAATAAACTTGACGATCAGACGATTCTCTCTTCGTCAATTATGTTCGACACTGATAACATTAACGATAACATTAACGATAACATAAACGATAACATTAACGATAACATTAACGATAACATAAACGATAACATTAACGATAACATTAACGATAACATAAATGCTCCATGTCAATTATGTTCGACACTGATAACATTAACGATAACATAAACGATAACATTAACGATAACATAAACGATAACATTAACGATAACATTCATTTTTGCATTAATCCTGCTGTGTTGTCAAAATGTCATGTTGTCATCATTTTTAAGAGAAGTTAATTAACCTGGTGACACATGGTGACGTGGTGACATAGTGACGTGGTGACACCATCAGTTATTCAAAAATAAATTTTCTTATAAAGCTTCAGGGTCAATTTCTTCAACCATTTCACTTCCTTCGTCAATGTCAATAGAAGCTTCTTCAACTTTGGTAAGAATTTCTGTATAACATCTTTGTTCGTTATTGTCTTCAGAGATGAAGGATAATATTTCACATTTGTTTCACCTGGAGGGCTCTTTGAGTCCATCTCGGCGCAAGGCGCCTTCTTATATTCTTTCTGTTCGGAAAGATTTAAAGCAATACTGAAGAAGTCAACGTTAGAGTTCTTTATGACAATATAATGAGTATCTTTGACATTCACGAAGAAACTCTTTGTTTCAAAACTACTGCTAACTCTTGTGAAGTATAACGTTTGCGGTCAATGACGATAGCTAATGGTCTGACATACTGACCAAACTTAGATTCTTTCACAAACTTCTTGTTAAAGATAACATTAACATTTGAAGCATTATTGAACTCATTATTGATGGCAGTAGCGAGAGCATTGTATGAAAAGAACTTGCAATCTTGCATGTGTTTCATTTAAAATAAAAATATTAAATTATTTTGAAAAATAACTTAAAAAAATCTAATCTAATTTTTCAAAAAATATTTTTTATTTCCTACTAAAGAGGTATCGGAAGTTGTCTAAGTTAGAACACTCGGAAATAAAACAACTTCTTACAGAAGCTAATATAGATGTTGCAAAGCATTACGCAACAAACAAAAAACACTCGCTGACATCCTCAATGACTATAATGGTGCAATAAGTTATGATAGAATTCATGAGTTCATAAAGCCGCAACGCGGCGAGGACGAAGTCCATGCAAGAGCATTTCCTTTAAATGACGTTGCTATTGACTTATATCATAGACGTTCAGTACCTCATGAAGTAAGAAGAGAAATGTTTGACATAACAAATGCAAACGTTGGTGAAACAAGAAGAAGAGACGACACACTGAAACAACAGAGAAGAGAGATGTTTAAATGTGCTATAGAACAAGTTCGCAAAGCTAACGATGTCATTCGTTCCATTGATGACAAACCAAAAGAAGGTGAGAGATGGTTAAAGAAAGATGAAGAGAATAGGAAGAGGAATGTTAAGACAGGCAATAGACTCATTGACTTTAACATCGAAGCTTTAGATGAACCAAACAGAGACTACTTACACAAAATTTCGGTAAGGTTTTCATGAGACTCTTAGAGAAGATTAAAATAAACTCCCAACAAAGATGGATGGTATGTTATAAACTTGGTGGAAAATATGAATGTTCTACGTTAAACCTCAATAATATTGGAACATTACTACATCAGCTCTTGAAGGAGAACTTTATATCAGAGATAGAAGCAAATGCTGCAGGTATTGTTGAAATGCACTATGACTTCTTCTTGACAAACATAAAGAATCTTACTGAAATAAAGATGTATGATTTAACAGAATATGAAGGCTTAACGATGTCAGATGTAAAGAAAGGCAAACCAAAAAAGAGACCATATAGAGATGAAAGCACACTGACAAATGACCAGAAAGCCATTTTGGAAGCTCTTAAGCAAACAGGAAACCCAGCACTTATAGAAAGCTTTTGGAAAGATAATGGTGAAAAGAAGTTTTATAAGAAGAGAAGCGGTCAGTTCTGGAAGTATCTTTGCACATTACCTATAAATCTTGAACGCTACCAAATCTTCAATGAACTGAACAAAAGAACTGCAACACTTATGACAGAAGATAACTGTTTCGTTTATGCTTGCATTCAGGCTGGAGTAAATGAAGAGACTATTGACCACATGAGAGAAGTCATTCGTGTTAGAGACTTTCCTCAAAGTAAAGTACAAGAAATTTCTGACGCAACAGGTATAGCATTTAATGTTACCATTGGTTACTTCAATGACTCAAGACATAATGAAATAAAGAGATACATACCAAAAGAATGTGAAACTGTTCGAACTATTGACTTACTTCTTGTTGAAGACCACTACATGCTAAATGAAAGATTACCAATGACAACATATTTCATTCGCAACTATATAGAAATCTTGAAGGAGTGTGGTGGAATGAACATTGAGAAACAGATGAAGATTTATACAAAGAGAGAGAACAAATATGTAGTTCGTTATGATAGAACAACACCGTTATGGGATGTTATGAAAACATTGTGGGAGTGCAAATATTTCGAACCTATTTCTTATGGAGAACTTTTCACATATACGACTGACTTATATAAACAGAACCTTGCACCATTTAAAGATTTGACATATGCTCCAAAGTATTGTGTACAACTGAAGAAGAAAGCCGAGTCAAAAGAAGTAAATAAAGCTAAATGTAAGTTCATTCCTGAGCACGTTTTCTTTGCTGACTTTGATGTAGCACTGATGGAGTTCATAAAGCTTTTAACATGTTATGACAGTGAAGATGGTTCAGTGAGTGAAAGCATTTGGGGTCAGAACTGTGCAACAGAATTTTTGGAACGACTTCCTGACAAGAGTTTAATATATTTCCATAACCTCAGTTATGATATAAACATCATCTTAAGACACATGACAGAAGTGAAAGGAACTCCCATCATTAAAGGTTCACGAACAATGCAAATAACTGGCTATATAAAGGAAGGGCAATCATTATAAAGATTCATACACTGTTATAAATAAGAAGCTTAAACTATTTCCTGAAATGTTTCATTTGCAGTGTGGTGAAAAGGAAGTATTTCCGTATCAATATTCAAGCTCTTTTTAGCAAATGACAACAGAACTGGTGTCATTTCTGAAGCGTGTAAGTTTGTAAAAGATATTGATACGTTCATGAAAAACATAGATTCCATCAAAGGTTGCAGAATAGATGAAAACCACTTCGACTTAGAAAAGTATAGCACATTTTATTGCAAACAAGATGTAAGAATTTTAAGAGAAGGTTTTGTTAAGTTCCGCAATGACATATTAAAGAATTTGATTTAAACGTTTATGACTACGTTAGTATTTGTTCAATTGCTAACAAATTGTTTGAGAACAGAGTGTACTTCCCGAATGGAAATTTATATGACCTCTCAAATAAACCAAGAGAATTTATTTCACGCTGTATTCAAGGTGGAAGATGTATGCTGTCAGATAACATGAAACAAAAGAGCGAAAAGAAACTCATTGCTGATTTCGACGCTGTTTCATTATATCCATCAGCTATAGCAAGACTTTATACTTTAGAAGGTATTCCAAAGGTTATGAAGAAAGAAATGTTAAGCACAGAGTATCTCATGAGACATTTATTCGATGACGACCAAAAGGAACCCATTGGTGAAAAGTTTATGTCTGGCTTCTTTGTTCTCATTAAGATAACAGAGATTGGAATACATAGACACTTTCCTTTAATAGTTTGTGACCCTGAACTAAATCCAGAACTTAACGTTCCCAGAAGTTCAAACACTTGCTGTTTAATGTATGTTGACCATATAACATTACAAGACCTCATAAAATATCAAGGTGTCAAATGTGAAGTGTTGCAAGGATACTATTACGATGGAAACAGAGATATTAGAATAAGAGATGAAGTAAAGAAGTTGTTTGAGTTAAGGTTAAAGTATAAGAAAGAAGGAAATCCTTTGCAAGAAAATATAAAGCTCATTCTGAACAGTATTTATGGCAAAACTATTCTATCTCCTATTGAGTCAAAAATAACCATAGTAAATGACAAAGATGCTATAAGATATGCCATCAGAAACTACAACCATATAGTGAAGTTCGAAGGTTTGGATGGTTCAGATAAAACTATTTTCAAGCTAACGAAAAGCATTTGCAGACACTTTAACTTCTGTCCACTTGGTGTTAACATTCTGTCTATGTCGAAGAGAATAATGTGTGAAGTATTCTGTACTGCTGAAGATATGGGACTTCAAATATTTTACCAGGACTGTGATAGCATGCATATTTTCAATGAAGACATACCAAAGCTTGCAGCAGAGTTTAAGAAGAGATACGGTCGCGAACTTATAGGAAAGAACCTTGGTCAATTTCATTCTGACTTCGCAGAAATAACACCTGGAAAACAAAGTTTAGCATACAAGTCAATATTTTGTGGAAAGAAGACCTACATAGACTTACTCACGAATGATTTAAATGAAGTTGCATTCCATGCACGTTGCAAAGGTGTCAAACAAGACGTCCTTGCTTTAACAGCAAATGAAATGTTTCCTGAAGCTATACAATGCTATTACAATGAAGATAAGAACATTCACATACCTGTTGGAACATATGACAAAGACTCTGAGTTCAGTTTAATGAAACTTTACAAAGCACTTTATGACGGTCAAGAGATTGGATTTGACTTATGTAAGTCATGTCAACCTTGCTTTGAAGAGAAGTTTAACTTCTCAATAACGACTAAAACAAGCTTTATTCGTAAGTTGAAGTTCTGAGGTCATTTATTTTTGTCAGCAATGAGGTCATTCGTGATAAAAATAAGCCGCTAGCGGCAAGGGCGAAGCCCATGTGGTCATTTACAATACTGCGATGGTAGAGTTTAAGAGTTGTGCTTCAATGTAGAGACAGTCCTTATGGTCTGGAGGTAAGAACACTGGGCAGTTATGGTCATGAGTGGAGAACATGTCTATCCAAAACTCACGATTGAAGCCAGTTAATTTATAGTATTTAGGGTTAGGAAGTGGTGAAGTTCTTGTATGACCAATGAACTCATTTTCAACTCCCTTACTTAAGTTTGAATATAATATAGCTTGCTTTCTATCCCAAATGCCAGGTGTTACAATCTTTGAAAATTCATTTTTCCTCGGAAGCATTGCATCATAATTGAAAACATTTTTGAAATCATCACTTGGTTCAGAGATTTGAAATCTTATACGTAATGG